TAGTGGAGAAAAAAAAAATTATAAAGATGCAATTAGGATTACCCTAAAAATTGACTCCCTTTACGCATAAGATATTCATGAATGTTCCTTGTTATTCCATATTAATTATTTTGTACCATGAAATTTTTATTTATTGATAATTTTATTAACATGTTAGAGATAGAGTGGAGAAGTTAGAAAATCTTGTACTCTGCTCATCTCTTCATCTTTTCCAAGAGCCTAAGGCCCCTTTAGTTAATTAAAAAAAACTATTTGATTTAGAAAAAAAGAGATTGTGGATTAATAAAGAGTCATGCTATTTCCACCCTTATATTATCTCTTTTCACCACGAAATTTTAAATACATAATATAATATAACATAAAATATCATAAATACCCTTAATAATTAATAATTTTTTAAATCACAATTTTGATCCACCACCGTCACTTCACTCTTCATCTTCTCCAATATTTTATTTTTCTTCATAGACTTCCATAACACAAACCTTTTTTGACCAAAAAAAATTAAAAAAAGAAGAAATCAGTTAATCTAGAACGACATAATTAATGTCCATTAAAAAAAAACCTTAAATCTATTTATGCTTTCATAGTATTTTTGCGATGGGGATCCCCGATTGTATATTATTTTTATTCATTTTTTTATTTAATGCAGTGAAATTTATTTATAAAAAATAATGGAATGGTGTTAATTTCCAGAAACATTTTCTTTATGTTGTAAATTGTAATTGAGAAGATAAAGTTTTAAATTGATGGTGGTGGATTAGAAAAATAATGAAATGAATAAGTATGAAGGGTATTTCAGATATTTTATATTATGTTATTTATTTATTTAAAATTTTGGTGGTGAAATGAGATAAAATGAGGGTGGAAAGAGCACATCTCATTAATAAACTTTTGAAGGTTTGATCAAGTTGGACAAAAATTGGATAATAAAATTGGGCAATATAGAAGTAAATATATTTTATAGTAATACAACATTTTTATTAAAATACTTTGTTACCTCGGCACTGATATCTTTTGTAGGACCTCATGTACTACCAGTCGTTCTAAAATCAATTTATAGTAGGAAAGACGCAGATCCTAGCATATAGTGCATTCAGCACACACAAGCGTTCACGTCATTCGATTGTCACGTGGACTATTGTTGTCAAACTCAAGCTAACATGAAATCAAAAAGTTGGTCCAAAATTAAAAGAAAAATTACTTATTGAAATCTGCGAAATTCAATTTGTTTAGTTTTTCACCTCTAATGTAGTGATATTAATGTTATAGATAATATTTGGAACAAACCCAAAATTTTTGGAACTAAAACTGGATTCAAAATTGAAGTCTCATATCATTCCAATTTCAAAAAATAAAAAATAAAATAAAATAAATTAAGGATCGGAGTCCTTATAATTTTAAATAAAAATATGATTTCGAAAACAAAATAACATGTTGTTCATGTTTCAACTGTCTAATAATGTGTGTATATATATATTTAAAAAACAGAGTCATTTTAATGAATTTCGAAAAACAATATTGAAAATTGAATTTAAAAGTTATTCAAGAACTAAATCAATAAAAAAAATTGAATTTAATTATATACTATTTAAAATTATTTTTTCCGTATGGAAAGGTACTAATGACTCTTGGATCTCTCCTAGGGCACAATCAACCCATGACAATGATATTGCTTATTTTAAGATGTAATAAAAAGCATATTATATTCACAAATTGAATGACTAAATGCAACTAAACTTTTTGGAAGAGTGTGATATCTAATCGTTGATTAATTAATTTATTATTGGTCGATTATTAGTTTGATATTTTCTTTTGACGTAGACATGAATAAATAATTAACCAATATAGTATTATTGTTATTAAGTACTCAATTATACAAATATACTATAATGTTAGTGGATTATATAAGTATTTTAATTATTGCTTGGTAGCATAATTATTAAGGAAAAAAATAGCAGTAAGCTTTACCTAAATAATATTTTTTTTTAATTTAAATATTTTCTTAATCCATTTGTAGTAGATAAAAAAATATTAATTCAATTTAATTAGAAATAAGAAGTGCCTTTTGAAATTTGGAAGTGTCAACTATTTGACCTTTGAAAAAACATAAAAAAATTAGAAAGAAAAATAAAAATAAAAGGATCAAATTGTAAATAATATGGATCTGCTAAACAAACGTAGATTAAATCGAGGTTTCTTCTGCGGAGAAAATTAAGACAGAAACCAAACAAACCCTTACCAAATACACACACTCCAGCGTATTTTTCTCTGTAAAAATCCTTCCTTTTTAACTGAAAACCCACCATCGCCACTGTCATTCATTCGGAATTGCGCTCGTAAAGGTATGTTCATTCTTCTTACTCCTTTCCTTTTCGTAATTTACGAAACCCAATTTTTTCTGAAATTTTTTTTTTCGAAATGGGGTTTCGATTTGATCGATTTTAGCTCGTAGATCTGTTGCATTATAACGGGATTGGGAAATACTGGTTAGATGAGAATACTTAAACTTTGATTTAGATGGTAATTTAGTTCTTGGTTTATCTAATTTTTTATTTTTTATTTTTCCCCCAATTTGAGTTATTAATTTTTTCAGGTGCTGTTGAAAGTAGAAATGTTGTTAGTTTTGTTCATCTTCTTCGCTTATTGATGTAAACCAAACATAATAGATCTAATTCTGCGGTCGATTTTTCGTTTATCCTGTTGACAATTTATCTGTGTTTTGCATCATAGATTCTTTAAATATTCGTGTTGGATCGTAATATATATCATTCTTTTTTTCTTTACGATTAATTATTATATCGATAAATTGGAGTGTGGTGTGATAATTATTTCTTTCAAGCTACAATTGAGGCCTCAAAACCTCGAAACTGCAGGAGATCCGATTCTCAATCGACTTATTCGATTATGTGTGGAAGTATACTTGACTATAAAGTAGTTGTAGGTAGCATTTTTAAGCATGCCCTTTTTTCGTGTTGTAAACATTCGGATCTCGTGTATGTTTGTCCATGTAACACAAGGATGTTGACAAAAAAAGTTCGCTCGTATCTAGAGTGATAATAGACCTTTGTGTTGACTTTAGTCAACTGCATAATAATAGCCCTTGTTGGAGTAATATCTATTTGCTTTTCGACACCCTTCAAGTATTATTCATGATCGTTTGACGTATTTTTGGTTCGTTTTAGGGTTTGTCTTTTGTTGATCGTTTCTGTTCGTTGTCCACAATCGGTCAATTTTTTTTCTTTTTTTTTTTTCCCTGTGCAGGTTGGGTTTACAAAATGGCAGCAACATATGCATCCACTTTTTCCGTTAAATCTACTTCATCTGCTGGTCCAAGAATCAGCCCGATGCAGCGGAAGCCTTTCAGCAGCATCAATTTGAGCCCAAAATCATCCTTTTTGGGCAGTCAAAGTCAAAGCAGCCTTCTCGTCTCTCACAATACAAAAGCCCCAAAATCTAGCCAGAGATCTTACAGTTACATGCCGCCCCACGCATCTTACAAAGTGGCTGTTCTCGGAGCAGGCGGCGGCATAGGCCAGCCGCTATCCCTTCTGATCAAAATGTCCCCACTCGTCTCCGCACTGAACCTCTACGACATAGCCAACGTGAAGGGAGTTGCCGCCGACCTCAGCCACTGCAACACCCCCTCCGTGGTGGTGGACTTCACCGGAGCCGCCCAACTGGCCGACTGCCTGAAAGGCGTCGATGTCGTCGTCATTCCAGCTGGCGTGCCGAGGAAGCCCGGAATGACACGTGACGATCTCTTCAACATCAATGCAGGCATAGTGAAAAACCTGGTCGAGGCTGTGGCGGATAACTGCCCCGAAGCATTTGTCCACATCATCAGCAACCCGGTCAACTCAACCGTACCGATCGCAGCCGAGGTTTTGAAGCGAAAGGGGGTTTATAACCCCAAGAAGCTCTTCGGTGTGACCACACTCGATGTAGTGAGGGCGAACACATTCGTCGCCGATAAGAAGAATCTCAAGCTTATTGACGTGGATGTTCCGGTTATCGGTGGCCATGCGGGAATCACCATTTTGCCCCTGCTGTCGAAGACGAAGCCGGAGGTTTCTTTCTCTGAGAAGGAGGTGCACGAGCTTACGGTGAGGATTCAGAACGCGGGGACTGAGGTTGTGGAGGCGAAGGCCGGGGCCGGGTCCGCCACTCTTTCGATGGCTTATGCTGCTGCGAGATTTGTCGAGTCCTCACTGCGTGCGCTTGATGGTGACAGCGATGTTTACGAGTGTGCTTATGTTCAGTCGGATTTGACGGAGCTTCCGTTTTTTGCATCGAGGGTTAAATTGGGTAGGAATGGAGTTGAGGCGGTTATTTCAAACGAGATTGAAGGGTTGAGCGAGTATGAAGAGAAGGCTTTGGAAGCTCTCAAGGAGGAGCTCAAGGCTAGTATCGACAAAGGTGTCGCTTTTGTGAACAAGCAAACGGTTGCTGCGTAATTTCTTTTCTTTATTTTTTTCAAGTGAAGCGTTCTTTGATGAGAAATAATGTAGTGCGGCCCGTTAACGTATCGGATTTCCAGTTTTGTTGTACCGAACAGGGATCCTTCGTTTTCTGTGTAGTAGAAGTTGTGGGAATTATTCAGTTCTAGAAGTTTGGCATTAAACGCGCAGGGGCAATGTATTTGTTCGAATTGGTGGTTTTATTCTTATATACGTATAAAATGCTCGTGTTTTTTTTTTTTTCTTTTTTCGTCTCTGATTGCGCGATTGTTTTGCCCAACTTTACTCGTAAAATTAGCGACACGGGTTCATACGTTACATTGATTAACAGTGACAACCGAACAAAGCCTAAATCTCTTTATTAACTTTGTATAAAGGAATTAGGAAAAAGAAAAAGAAGTAAGATTTAAAAAAAAAACAGTGGGGAATCTTTTGTGGAGCACAAAGATTCCCCAAAAACTGCAAGAACAACAGCATCACCAATAATCGCCGCAAGAGCAGCTCCCCTCACGAAAATGATGAAACCGATTCCGATCCCTAACCACCACTTTCCGATCATAAACCGACGACAAAACCTTGCAAAAATTATGACAATCCACACATATCCTAAGATCCTTCGCAACCCTAATTGTGGTCCCCGGCGCTGTCATAAGCACCCCAAAAGCAACCGCCAATTTCTCACTGTGGACCCCACCACAACTCACACCATCGTCAACATATCCACCAATCACAAGTTGTTGATTGATCTCCTCAAGCATTTCGTAAATCTCCTTCTTCCTCTTATGATGCGAAACATCGTCCGCAAAAAACTCGTGCACCTCTCCATTCAACTCCATCGTGCTACAAGCGGGCGTAGTCCGAATTCCCTTGTTCTTCATCATTTCCCTCACTTCCACAACCTTATCCGAATCCCCGTTCGAAGAATAAATATTTAATAAAAGAATATAATCGCCCGCTTCTTGAGCCTTGAGCTCGACGAGATGGTCGACCACACGTTCTCCGAGAGGAATGTTCCGGTGGATTCTACACGCACCGAGCAACGTCCGCCACATTGCGGCGTCGGGATTGATTCTCATCGAAGATATGAGATTGTAAGCCTCGTCTAGTGAACCGGCCCGGCCCAAGAGATCCACCATGCACCCGTAATGGTGGATGTTCGGTTGGATTTTGAAATCTTGGATCATGGATTGGAAAAATCGCCGACCCTCTTCAACTAGGCCGGAGTGGCTGCAGGCTGATATTACTCCGGTGAAAGTTTGGTCGCCGGGGGAAATGCCTTCCTTTTGCATCGCTTCGAACGCTGCGATGGCGTCTCTACCATAGCCGTTGCTTGCTAGACCTGAAATTAGGGGTGGAAATCGGATTTAGGAATTTCTGAAGTGCAAAACTAATTCCAATTTCGTTCCAAAAAAACATTAGAATAACCGGAAATCCGAATTTTGGATTCAAATGAATATACGTATTCCGAAAATTGGAAATTTTCGGATTGGAATTGACAGAATTCGAAATTTCCACTTTTTTGGTAACCGGTAATATAAAATACAATATAATATTGATATTATAATGTAATTATCCGGATTTTGCTTTTTGGAGTGTTCGGAAATAATTTCAGAAATTAAAATCGGATCGAAAATCGGAATATAATAACTATTCCAATTCAATTTAATTTTTTTTTTGGAAATTTCGGAATTTAGAATAAATATATTGTTCCAAAATCGGAAATATTTGAATAGGAATCGGCGGAATTCGAGATATTAAGTTCCAATACCCACCCCTACCTGATATCATGGCGGTCCACGAAACGACGTTTTTACCGACCATATTCTTAAATACATCGTGGGCTTTCTCGATGCACCCACATCGTGAGTACATTGCAATGAGAGAATTACAAACACTTTTGGCTTTGAGGAGATCGTTTTCGACTATGTAGGTGTGGATTTTTTCGCCCCACTCTAATGCATTTAAGCTCCCACAAGCTTGGAGAGCAAGTAAACAAGTGACGTCGTCCGGTCGGCACGCGTTTGAGTTTGTTGACATCCTCTCGAACAAGGACAAGGCGTCTCGTGTGCGGCCGTTACGAGTGCAGCAAGAGATCAACACATTCCAAGCAACAACATCTCTGTGAGACATTTCATCGAACACCTTGCAGGCCTCACTGCCCTTCTCTAAAGATGAGTAGAAATCCATCACTGTGGTTAACAAAAGGTTGTCGGAGAGATACCCGTCTTTCCAAATCTTCGCGTGAATCTGGATTCCGTTGGAAAAAGATTTGATCTTGGTACAGCACTTGATTGCGACGGTGGCGGATAAAGCGTTCGATGAAATGCCTAAACGATTTAATTCTTGGTAGAGGAGAAAGCCGGTGGGGGCTGACTCACGGCTGAATGAATAAGCCCTGATCATGGTGTTGTATAGTGAAACATTGGGATCCGGGAAGTCGGAGAATATTCTGCCGGAGTAAGATAGATCGCGCAGCGGAGGGAGAGACGAACGAGAGAGGAAGGGGAGGAAAACGGCGGGGTTGTGAAATTGGGCGGAGCAGAGGAGATGGGCGTGGAGCTGGAGTAGATGGGTTTTTTGGGTGCATGATTTTATGATGTAAATGATTTTCTTTTCGTGATAGAGTCCGTTCATCGGCGTTCCGGTGGTTATTTTCTGTTCTTCGTCGACCGCTGCAATTTTTTTAGGCGCTATTACAATTTACAAATAGTCAAATAGTTCCATAATCAATAAGAGTTTATTGCAAATACTACCCCTGTATTATCTCTAATTGGCAAATACCCCCTGTAAAAAAAAACTCACCAACACTGCACCCTTTGTGATTTTAAGCTCTGACTGAAGGTAAAGTGACAAAAATGCCCTTGTCAATTCTTCAGCAATTAATAAAAAATATTATAATTTTATAGATATTATATACTTTTTTATTTTGTAAATATTAAAATAAAAAAATATATTTAAACGAGAATGAAATATATATTATAACATTAAAAGTTTTAATATGCTTTCTAGTTTTTTAGTTTTACATTATATATTAAATAAAGAAAAGAAAAAAAAAAAACGTTCTTCTTCCCCACCCTCCCACCCAACTCACAGCACTCATCCACGGTTCACCATATCTCCACCGGATTGCCGCTTTGGCTCCGCCGCAGCTCACCACCATCTCACCTCTCCTTCACCAACACCACCATCTTCTCTAGAGCCGCCGCCCACCAATAAATTTTAGTTTATTGAAACTTTAGATAATCATCGCTGTAATTGGGGCTTGATTAGCCTCGGGTTGTACGGATTCGGGTCTGGTATGGGAATTGTAGAAGATGGGGTGGTGTTGCTGAATTTTTCTTCTCTTGTTAGGGTTGGGGTTTGGGGAGTGGGAAACGGGGGAAAAAGACAATGTTCTGTCTTTTTTTTTTTTTTCTTATAATATTTTTCTGCATTATTTTTATGGGGCTTACTATTCATAGTGCAATTTTTTCCGGTTACAGTGCGAAATAATTCATTTGTCAAAAAACCCTTTAACATTTTTCGAAATCCTCTCAACCTCCGAATTTTAAAACTTACCAAATCGTCAAATTTGTCCGATAGTATCATTTAGAACACAATAATTATCAAGAAGTATGAAACCTAAATCGATTTTGAGATTAAAAAATGTGTTTTTTTTCGATTTTCGACATTTTTATGAATTTCGTGTTCTGTTGCACGAAATTAAACACTCCATTTCGTGCAATACAACACGAAACGCTTTATTTTTCAGAATTTTGTATTATTTCGTGTAAATTTCCAGGAAATGCAACGTGAAATCACTATTTTTTTTTAATTACTCCATTTTTAACACTCAAATAAGTACAAGAGAATAACAACAAACTTAAAATGAAATTCAAATACTAAATAAACTAAAATTCAAATGTAAATACAAATTAAAATAAACCTATATTTCGTAAACTACGTGCCATACTTTAATATAATAACAATGTACACAAATCCATAAGACATTGCATAGTATTCATAACAAAAAATATATATTGCAAAAATCTACAACCAAACTACAAAAATTATATGGTTTACATGCTAAAATAAAATAAAAAATTAATAGTAAACAGACCAATTTCTTTAAAACAATAAAGAAAAAAGTTAAGTATTAAAAGTGTATGATTTATGATCATTTAATTTGTAATATTCATCAATGTAATTATTATTATTATTATAAGATTTAGGATCGTATGTAACTAGTGTTTGTAATCAAAACCTATAATTTTAGCATAATTTAGTTTTATTCTTAAAATATATGTTTTTATAGCAAATCGAATCCTAAATCTTATGAATCAAATTGTGAGATTTTTGTTCTTGTTCCTACATAAAAAAATCGTATTAAATAATGTGAAATCCCTTAGAAAAATGAAGGTATTTAATACGATTTTTTGTTATGCAGGAACTAGAACAAGAATCTCACGATTAAAGTACGGTCCGTAGTTTACGAAATATTTATTTTGATTTGTATTTACATTTGAATTTCAGTCTACTTAGTATTTGAATTTCATTTTAAGTTTGTTGTTATTCTCTTGTATTTATTTGAGTGTTAAAAATGAAATAATTAAAAAAAAAATAAAAAAATAGTTGTTTCACGTTAATTTACACGAAATGCTCAAATAGCCTGTAAATTACCTTTTTTTTTCAATTTTTTATTGAAAAAATATACACAAATATATTTATATATATTATTAATATTCCCAAAATAAATACGGAACTCTTTCTTGAATCGACAAAAAAAATTATTGATAAATACATTTACAATAATGAAAGAAAACAAGAAAGAATTAATAAAGAAAAGAAAAATTCAATTCCGTTTATTTCGACTATAAAAAAGCTACTATTAATTTTTTTTTTATTTTAGCATGTAAACCATATAATTTTTGTAGTTTGGTTGTAGATTTTGCAATATATATTTTTTGTTATGAATACTATGCAATGTCTTATGGATTTGTGTATATCGTTATTATATTAAAGTATGGTACGTAGTTTACGAAATATAGGTTTATTTTAATTTGTATTTACATTTGAATTTTAGTTTATTTAGTATTTGAATTTCATTTTAAGTTTGTTGTTATTCTCTTGTATTTATTTGAGTGTTAAAAATGGAGTAATTAAAAAAAATAGTGATTTTACGTTGCATTTCCTGGAAATTTACACGAAATGCAAGCTTGCATTTCCTGTAAATTTACACGAAATGCAAGCTTGCATTTCCTGTAAATTTACACGAAATTCAAGCTTGCATTTCCTGTAAATTTACACGAAATTCAAGCTTGCATTTCGTGTAAATTTACACGAAATTCAAGCTTGTATTTCGTGTAAATTTACACGAAATACATAAAAAACTAAAATACTATGGTTTCGTACATCGTAAAAAAACACTATTTCGTGCTTCTTTGCACGAAATGCTTCTATCCATTTCGTGTTAGGGAATACGAAATACTCATGCACGAAACACGGTTGGAAAAGGGTTTGAGAGAAATGTGGTTTTTTTCTTGAAAAATTACAAATGAAATAAAGTCGCACTGCAAGCCGGTAAAAATTGTTCTATGAATAGCATTTCAGTATTTTTATTTTGCACTTCTGGAAATTACAATTTGGTCCTATAAATTTAGGTTATTCATAATTTAACCAACAAGATTATTTTTTATTTTTTAAAGTGGTATTTATGACATTTCACCCTAAAAATACCATTAAAAATCGCACAACCCGCGAGTGAGTGACACGATTTGCGTCCAGGGGTGTCGATGCCTTGACTTTGTTAACACAAGGGGGTGTTGGTGAGTTTTTTTTTTTCACAGGAAGATATCTGGCAATTAGAGATAACATATGACTGGTATTTGCAATCAGCTCTAATCAATAATCTACTAAAATTTTTAGTACATAACACTTATACGTTACAATAACCAATTATAATTTTTTTTTTAAATTTTCTTTTTATTTATTAAAATTATAATTAACTAATTCTTTTTTTTTTCTGACAAATTTACTAATCGATTACAAATTACATTAATTAACTACAAAATTCTAATACTGACTTCAATTTATAATAAAAACAACTATAAAAACATCTCAATCCAACTACAAATTTTAACAATCTACTACAAGCTATAATTTATGGTAATTCACTACAATACTACAAGCTACAATTTATAGTAATTAACTGCGATTTATTGAAATTAACTGTAAAATCATCAAAACCATCTACAGTATATTGAAAGCAACTACAATATTATCGAAATGAACTACAATATTATTAAAATCTATTACGAAAATAGTGAAATCAACTACTAAATCACCAAAGCTGACTACTAATTATCGAAATCAACTACAAACTCTAACCAAACGACCATAAAAAAAATATTCTAGCATACCCTAATGCCACCACGCAAAAATAACTGCAAATTCTGACTAAATGACTACAGTTTTAGAATGTACTAACATTCATGCAGTCGAAAACAACCAGCTACTGCTACCGACACAACCCAACTACAAATTCATCCAACACCGCCGAACATACCAAACCCTAGCCTCGCCGTGTGAAAACATGTGCCGCCACCAAACTCCAATGCGACCAAAATCTAGAACGCAATCAGAAGCCAAACCCTAGAGTTGTCGCGCAAAAACTCTAACGCCCTGCATGAAAAAACTTACTAAACCGTCGTCAATCGCATTGTACCACTTCATCCGTGTGAGATTTTTGCCCACCCACGTCACTCATAATCAGTGTTCTAAAAATCGGCCGAGGCGGTCCAAAACCTTTACGATTTTAGTGTAAAGGTTTGAAAAATTGGTTCTTTGCCTGTTAGGCGGTTTGAGGCGGTCCGAGGTGGTCAAACCTTTAAGGCGGGTCAAACTTCGGTGGCAAAAATCGGCAAAAAATCGGTTTTTTTTTTATTTTTTTATTTTATTTTATAAATCAAAATAAAAGTTGGGATTTTAATAAAAAAAAAATGAGTTTATGCTTTATTTTGTTTATGTTAATTATTATTGTTAAAGAACTAATAATGTATGCGAAGAATGTATGTAAATTCAAAAAAATTGCATTTTTATTTAAATATTTTATAAGGATATTTATGTATTATGATCTTATTATTATTAAACTTTTATTATGTTATTAGAATATATACATGATGGAGATATAATCATATAACTATGTTTAAATATTTTTATCTATGTTTTGAGTATTTATAAATAATATCTACAAATATGTTATATTAAATTTTAAAAACCGATTTATTTTCGATTTATCACCGACTAATCACCGCCGCACCGATTAATCGTGAGTCGATCCCTGACCGACCGCCTCCGACCCGATTACCGTTTTTTACAAGCTTGCTCATGATTGCCAGAATTGAGGAACGTCGAAGTGGATTGACGGAGAAGAGACGTGAAAAGAGTTAGCTGCGGCGTCGGAAGAAGGAGACTGCCCAATTTCCACCGTCAGTAAAGTACCTCGTTGAAGAAGAGCACGTCAAGTGACAAGTTTGTTGTCGAACTCAGTGTCTCGCCAAAGAAGAGAGAAGAAAGAGAGCAATATGGTGAATGGCGACGTGTTTGAAGGAGCACTAACATAACATCTCAAAACAAACTCTGCACCTATATATACTTCTAAACAAACATTGCTATATGTATATTATTATTCATGTAATAAAATCATTCATAACAGAAAAAAGACTCGAATTCTTCCATGGTACCACAGCCATTTTCATTATAGTTTTCAACTCCGCTTGAATATACGTCGCTTGTGGAGGGGCCCGCAGATTCCGAACAAGTAATTTTATCGTCGGTGATGAATCCCATTTGGAGCTTTCTCTTCTTGTAGTTAGCCTTGAAACAAGCTTGTCGTAACCTCTTCGTCTTGTTTTCCATTTCCATGTCGGGTATCTCTTCCATTATTCTCTTCTCTTGCTCCAATATCTCTATCGCCTTTCTCATCAACTTCCCTTTCTCTACCGAATCTTCCTCTCCCATTTTCTATAGCACCCCGAAAAACGAATAACTAAATATTAATTAATTCCTTCTTTTTTTCAATCCACACATTTCTTGAACTTGTGTAATAGAAACATATATATTCAGTTAAACATCTATAAATTAATAAATACCGGACTAGTGAAATTCTATTAACTTGGCGAAATATTAATTTATCGAACTAATAATTTAGTACGTTTTTACCGAGTTGGGACCAGAAGAAATTATAGCGTATTAATTTATCGAGATTCTACTATATATATATAGTATACCTGGACATTCTTGATTAGGGTTTGGAGGCTCATCAGCTTACGGTGGGGCCACCGTCGAATACCTAATTCTCTGCACCTTTTCTTCAATAGGGTTACTCCTACATTCAGTTCTTTTGCTGCTTGTGCTATTGGCATGTAAAAATACCGACATACTTCCTCCCTCGTCAAATTACTTTTCGAATTGCTGCTTATTACATCCTTCTTTTCAACTGATCTTTTGTCTGCTTTCTTATTATCAGCTTCCACCATTGGTGGTAACGGCATTTCGTTTCGTCCGACAGCAAACATCGTTTCGCCGACGTTGATGCTGTCGGAATTGCAGACAAAACCCTCTGCATAAATTAATGTATCGTCATTTTAAATATGCATACATATATATGTTTATATATATATATATATATACTTGTCTGTAAATAATAATTACCTGGAAAGAAAGTGGGGTTTGGTACATAATCGACGAAGGAAAGCGAAGGATCGAGAACGACAGATTCTTGGAAGAACCCAAATTCATCTTGGAAACCCCAGTCAGTATAACTGCTGTATGTATATAATAAATCACCACCGCGGAAGAAGAAAAAATTATAAATATATGTAAAATCATGAAATCCGAAAAAAAAAAGAAGAAGAAGAAGAAGAAGAAGAATAGAAAACCCTAATTGGGTTTTGAGATACATGCATGATGAAAAGTTACCTGAAAGGATGATCAATGGGTGAGGGGAAGGAGAAAACATCATCGTACTCTTGTTTGGCTGTTGCTGTTGTTGTTGCTCCGTAGTTTGGCCAACTCATGTTAATGGCTTGGTGAGTAGTTTCCATTCTAGAGAGAGAGAGAGAGGAGAGAGAGAGAGAGAGAGAGAGAGAGAGAGAGAGTTTCTGTGTGTGTATGGAGTTGGAAATGAAGAAGACGAGGGAGGGAATGATAAATATGCGTGTGAAATGGCGCAATAATTATGGTAATTTACTACCCTTGTAGATCGTGGCGCCGTCGCATTTAGAGAGAGAGAGTGTGTGTGTGTGTGTGTGTGTGGAGAGAGAGTGAGAATGTAGAGATTATGAGAGAGATTATGGTTTGCTAATTTATTCTGATTAAGTATGTTATTTTGATTTTTTATTTTATAATTTGAATATGGCGAAATTTAAAGATGAAATTTGTAGTCATTTGAGTTACATTTCAACATTTTCTTCATTTGAATTCGGCAAAATATAATTTTAAAGACGAAATTTGTAATCCTTTGAGTTGAAATTTTAAAATTTAATTGTATCGGTGAAAGTTGAGACGGTGTTTTTTTTGTCCCAAATTATTTGTCACTTTAGGGTTCCAATAAGGTATTAATTGCATTTTTATCAATTTTGCCCCTTATCACTCTTAATTAGTTAATTAAAAAATAATTATTGACAAGGGTATTTTAGTATTTACTATGTTATTTTTTGTATACTCTATATGCATATTTATTGACTATCTTATTCTACGTGTAACCACCCAAAACGACATATATAAAAAGGGACGGAGGGAGTAATAAACTAATATACATACACAAATTAGTTGGGACTTGGAACTTGGAATCTTGAAACTAGAACTAGCATGATACTTTTGTTCTACTTTTTCATTTTTATCTTTTTGAGTAAGTTGCATTGAAATTAATACGTTGTTATTAATTTTCTTTCATTTTTCTTTTGTTTTATTTTAGTTACTAATATTTCTTGTATACTAATACAGCAAAACCTCAATAAATTAATAATCTCGTCTAATTTTTTTTTTTCGATCCCAACTCGGTAAAAATATATTAAATTATTAGTTCGATAATTCAATATTTTGTTAGTCCAAACAGTATTGATTTAAAGAGTTTTAATTGTAAGTAATTCCACCCGAAAATGAAAACATTGAACCTAATTAAGTTGCCATTTTACAATTTTCCAATAATATTTTGTCAGTTTCAGTTTTATAAATATTTATTAGCAACCTGAAAATGAATTATATAATGTAACGTACCAAATCAATGCTAACCAATGATGGTAACAATTATTCACCATTCATTTTCAAAACCACCACTATTAGTATTAATTAAATTTAGTGGCACCAAATTTAATTTAATATAAGCTGATTAAATGAGTGGTAGTGGTGCAATTATGTTATGTAATTATTAGTTCTTAAAATAACAGTAATAACATAAACCTCCATCTGCATTAACGCTTCATCCATATAACGGCAGAATCATTCATAAACCTTAACCCAACCACTTTTCAGTTAGAATTTCAAGAGACTTTTTGCATTCTCTATATGTAAATTTTGTGACACATATTGCAGTACAATTGTAATGAATGATGATCTTTAGGGACCTTTAAAAATTTTAAAAGAAAATTACGAAAAACCCAATTACAATCGGTTAATATCTGGTCGGGCAGCGTATATTATTCGGATGCTCACTCCTACCCATTTTTATGGCAGAATCACTAAATAAACAGAGTTTTAACGAATTATGATACGCTAATTACCAATCGGGTCGAGTAGTAGAATACCCGTATCACATGCCCCCCCAACACATTTTATGCTAAAATCAAGAAATAAACATTAGTTACGCAAAAATGGCAACACCAAAGCTCGAAAAAAAGCAGTGGTTTCAGTTTCCAATCAGTCGTTTAACGACCTCAAATAGAATATATAGTAAATACGAATTCTCCCTTTCTCAACAAAGATTCAGAGAGTTTTTTTCACACACACAAAAAAAAAAAGAAAAAAAGAAGAAGGAACATTCGAAGCAAAATTAATAATAAGCGGAAATTACTTAAAAGTTCAAACAGATTTTTTTTTTATTTTTTTATTTCCAGCCTCTGCCGCGGCCGCGGCCACGTCCACGGTTGCCTCCTTTACCACGCAGTGCCTTATTGACATCATTTTTGACTTGCATGTTCTCGGGTAACGGGAGAATCTGGTCCACACATTTTCTGAAGCTGAAGTCATCGGTCGTGTCATCCTCCCTTGTTAGGAAGAAGCAACGGCTATGGAACTTTGGGTGGAAACGAACTTGGAAAGCTTTTATGCCTTTCCCAATCTTTCTATCTGCTTCTAGATGACCTTTCTTCAGCAGTTCTAGCACCATCATGTGCTCGTACTGAAACAATTACGAAAATATTAATTACTCAAAAGGCCTTTTACACGTTGATCAAAATCTACAGCAATTGAACAATCGTAATTGAACTAGTTCGTAGTGCTCGAATAGATGACATTTTACATTTCTGACCTTTTTATTATATTAAACAGATGGTATGTTCTACAGATGCATCATGAATCACATTTAACTCTGTTCGTGATTAGCGAAATTTGATTTTTTTTTTAAACTATCAACTCGAGCAACAAGGATGAAGTATGCTTTGTTTTGATACAATAGTGCAATTCAATGTCGAGACACATTAAACAAGAGATTGTCTTCACCCCATAATTAAAAGACAGATCCACTAAATAGCAATTTCAAGAAACGTGTTAACTACCAACAAATCAGCCAAACAAAGTAACATACCACAAACTCTTACTCATCCCAACTGGTACGCATACAACGTATTTAACTATATTGTTTCATTGCTAATGCAATGAAACAATAGTTGCTACCAAGTAAGAAGGAAAAGTATATTCAGGTTTCGACATTTGTAATTTTGACCCACAAACAATTCAATGAAGAGATTCCAAGTGTAAACCTTTTCCTCATAAAGTCGGAAGCTCGGTGATACGTTCTTGAATGTGGGTAAAAAATATATGATCCTCCAATCGTAAATTGCGATAACAAATTTCCAGAATGATTAATATGTAAGAAATAAGGAAAGCAAGAGAGAAACTATAAGAGTTTAGCAATGGAAAAATAATCCCTACCGAAAACGAAACCACTAACCAACTAATGTAGTCAACTAATTCATTCCACTAACTTTTCTACATTAAGCTAAAACTGTCATAACAAAAACCAACTCCCTAAAATTAAGGACACGATTTATATTATTAAGCTAACAAAGTGTTAAAACATAAACCAACTCCCTAAACTTAAGGACACGATTTAGCAACAAAAAAACTAACAAATAATATTAATCTAATATTAAAAATTAAATCTTTGTATGAACACTAGCTGGAATCGTCAACATTCATCACACAATCACACATCAAACTTGGTTCCAGTATACTCAATCCAACATTTCAACTAATTCGAAGCACATTATATCATTATCGAAAATCAATAAACGAAGATAAAACCGAAAAAAAGGTTTAAAAAAATTTACCTTATTGATGTTGAGATTGGGGGTCCAAGCATGAAGAAGCTTATAGAAGTAATCAAACATCTCCACGGAAGATCCGAATGTCTTCGGGCCGATGGTTGCCGCCCCGCCCGATTCCTTCTCCTCCACCATTTTATCATCTCCGCCGCCGGAACTCTCGAGCCGCCGCTCCTCGGAGGACTTCTCGTCCTCGATTTTCGCCTTCTTATCGCCGTTCTGTTCCGGCGCCTCGACTTCCTCCCTAGCGCGCTTCGAGCCGCCGTTCTCGGAATCCACCGCTGGATTAGCATCGGTTGATATTTGTGCCTTGGGTTCGAGTTCCATTGGGACCTCTGGAGCAGCCTCTTCCGCCATGAGTGAAGGAAGGTCTCGAGCTGTGTGCTAAACCCTAGAGATTTTAGGTTTTTTCTTTTTTTAATTTGAAAAAACCGTTCTTTTCTCTCCTCTCTCTTTGCAATGAATTTTCTCTCTCTATTTATATTCTCTCTTTTCTTTTTTTCACTTCTTTTATTATTTGATTTTACAGTCAGCGTCACTGGGCCTAGAGATAGGCCTTCGATTTGAATTTCAATGGGCCTGAAATTGGATTCTTGCAAACATATTAAGAAAAATAATAAGTTTAAATAAAGGGTAAATTACAACCAACCCCTGAAGTATGGTCAAATTACGAAAGAAACCCCTCATGTTTGGGTAATTACAACCACCCCTCAACTATAAATCTTCCTACACGTCCACCCTTGCGGTGTCAAATTTAATGGAATATTTTAGACTATATGGAATATTCTCAATTTTGTATTTGTTTTATCACGTTCGAGCTCCACATTTTGAAGCAAGATGATCGTAAGATGTGTTTTTTGGCTTGTATACATCAGATTGTGGCGCAACAGAAACTGCGTTTTTGCACAAAATGAGTAAAAACAGGAGAACATTCCACGGAATCTAGAAGATTATGTTAAATTTGACACTATAAGGATGGACGTGTAAGAAGATTCATAGTTGAGAGGAGTGGTTGTAATTATCCCAACATAAGGGATTTTTTTGTAATTTGACCAAACCTCAGGGTGGTTGTACTTTACCCTTAAATAAGTTATAGGAAAAATATAGGTTATCACTAAAAATTAAAAAAAAAATACAATTAATGTTTCATTGAACTGAAATTCTAAAGTGACAAACAATTTACGATAAAAAAAAAAAAAAAAAAAAAAAAAAAAAACTCTATAAAAAGACAAATATATGAGACATATCGAAAGTGCATTTTTTCGCTAATGATTTGATTGATCGCTAATCAAGTTACTAGAATTAGAGAATCGATAGTTTCGACGAACTTATGCATAGACGGTCGATTGGTACGGCGAGTACTAATATTTTTGAAAGTTGGTTACCGATAATTACCTGGTTAACGTATTATTTTTAAAAGCAATGATTACAAATTATAATTAAAATAATATTCTATGCTATTTCAATATAGTAACCTTTGTATATTGTTTTGATCTTTTTGCAAATCAACATTGTTCGGGCTTCCAAAATCGGGTTTTTCGATTTTTTGTAACATTTGATTTCTGATAACTTTCAAATGAAATATGGTTTTAATTAAAAGACTCAAGATTTGGAGAAAGGACCCCCCATACAAGCTAAATTTAACTCACTCTGCAAGAACATGCGCATGCTTATTACATTGAACTTTTGAAACTTATGTTTTTTTTAAATAATATGGTACTCAACTTCTTAAAATAGGTTGAAATCGATAGCGAACTTCTAAAATTGCTCGAAGATTGATGAAAGTTAATTTCTGAAATTAGCTGAAATTTTTAAAAAGTGAGTATTCTTAATAAATTGAGTATTCTTAACATAATACGGCACTGCACTTGTGAAAATTTTCTAAAACTTGATAGCGAAATTATGAAATTGGTTATTAAATAGTAAACTCTAAAAATTGGTGAAACGCTAGAAGATAAATTTTTTAAGATTTGGCTGAGGATCGACAATATACTTCTTAAAGGTAGTTAAAATTTGGCAATGAACTTACAGCCTAAGACACGCAATGTGTGTGTGTGTAATAAAAAAGAGAGAGAAGTGTTACTAGAAATTTGAATGGAGAGGCTTAGTTCCATGCAAAAAATAAAGAAGGGGCAAAAGAAAAGCATAAAGGAAATCCATTGAGCACAAGAAACCAAAAACTGTCAATTTTTTCTGTGTTTATTTGCATAGAGAGAAGAGCTTAGAATTCTAAAGGTGAGAGTTAGGCATAAAGCAAATTCTTGGTATTTTAATGTGGGGGAATTTGTTTTTGTTCAACAATCCACTTTCTCTGGCGTTTTTGCTATCCAAATACCCAAATACAGTAGAACCTCAATAAATTAAATAACTTCGTTTAAATAATACAAAAAATCGTTTCCGACTCGGTAAATATGTATTAAATTATTAGCTCGAAAATTAATATTTTTGTTAAATTAATAAAATTTTATTCGTCACGACTGTATTAATTTATAAAAGATTTACTGTACGTGATTTATGATGTATGAATATATATCCATTCCCTATGGTTTCCTTAGTAAGCAAGATATGTAGTTCAAAACTCATGGCAAAACTTTTTGAGTAGTTCAAAATCATGTCACATCAATTTATGCTTGTGAATTGTGTTTTGCACCCAATAACTAATATTAATTGGCGATTTGCACCCGATAACTAAAGAATTGGCAAGTTATCATTCAAATCAAATTAAATATCTAGTGGTAAAATATTCCAGACGTCAATTTATTGTAAGATTTAACCAAAATGTATCACAATATTTTAACTTTTGAAGGTATTCCCCTTCTGATTTGTTCGACCCTACACCCGGTGAAAAACAACGGGTGGGTCTTCTGCTGCCACGTGTCTCTTTTTTGTATTTTATAATAGATTTTCCGCCAGGGTTTACCTTTAGGGGTTTTAGAAAAAAAAAAAAAAACACGTGGCTGCAAAAGACCCACCTGGTGTTTTTCACCGGGTGTAGGGTCGAATGAACAATTTCCCTTGTTTACCTTTTCTTTTCCTTCTAATTTTAAATATTCTTTTTTTAATTATTTTACAAGTAAATAAATAAAAACGGAATTGATGATTTAATTTTCTATTTTCTGGATCATGGTAAATATTTATAATGTTCCAAAATTCTAATTCTGATTAAATTTGAACTTATTACAAAATAATATATATATAAACAATGTTCTGACAATTAATATCGTGCGACTAAAAATAAGCATAACGTGGAGAAATGGTGTTGCATTCAATGGTCTAAGTAACAAGGCAAAGAATAGGATGTTGGTGGTGAAACCAAAAAAGAAAAAAAAAAAAAAGATTCTTGGCTTCTCAAAAATTATGTTTTATTTATGGGCAAATTACGAGAAACCCTATGAGGTAATGTCTAATTACGAAAATCCTCCTCATATATGTGTAGTTATGAAATCCCCCTGACCAGTGTTTGGTCGTTTAAACTTATAAAAAATGTATTTTATCCGGTTTACCCTTATGTTATTTGAAAACAAAACAAAGGATAAATTACGAGAACCCCCTGAGGTAATGTTTAATTATAAAAACCCCCCTATATATGCGATATTACCGAAACCTCCCGATGTATGTTGTCAGAGAATTACGCGAGAAGCTTTTTTGAGTTATTAAAAATGTATTTAATAATAATGAAATTTCGTAACATAAAATCGATTTTATAGAATAAAAATTACAGAAATATGTGAAATCGATTTCATTGAATAAAAAAATATTATGTAAACAAAAAAAACTACAACAAATAAGAACTTTTAATGTTACAAGATATATTTAATTATTTTTTATATATATTATGTTTTACAATTAAAAATACTATATTTTTTTTAAATATATTACAATTTACCCCCAAGTAATTCATATGCTTACACGTGTCACATGTTAAAGGGCAAAAATGACATTTTTAGAAGAGTGTTCCATGGAATAAAAGGATTATTGTTAAAAGTAACACTATAGGGACTGTGTGAGACGACAGCATACCTCAAAGAGATTTTCGTAATTACTCAAACATGAGAATTATTTTCGTAATTAGACCGGTTACTCGTAATTTGACCTCTATTTATTTATGAATTGTTTTCCAAATAAGAACTTTTGATTCAAACCTGTCACAAACTTCCAAAAACAGCCTTATATAAATGTTGCTTCCGTACTAGGCTTATGATTGGTTGTGAATCTAGCTTCACTCTAGGGTTTTAGGGTAACCCCCCTTTCTGCTTTATTGCTTTATTAATCCACCTTATATACAAATCAAATTAACCCATATATGTAGCTGGCTAGCTGCATATTATTAATATTTATTCAGACACACCATTTAATTTATTCTTACATCATAATTATACTCACAAAGAAATGTGTTGCTTAACCTATAGGATCATCATCTCTGTACTACTAATTTGTTTCGGGTTTCTGTCGATCGAAACGGAGAGAGTTTCTGCTTCTAGAAGCTTCCGGGTTCTGAACGAAGATGCCTTGCAAAGTACGAAGGTGCCGCTAAACATCGCGCCTTCCCCTGCAATGAATTTCGACCCGAATCAGTCGGAAAAACGAACAGTTCGTGGAGGATCCGACCCTATTCACAACAGATGCTGAGAGATGAAGCTTTGAAGATCAAGCAATATATATATATATATATATGCCCAAAGCATAGCTCAAGTATACAGGGGTTATTATGATATTTATTTTTAGATAGAAATATATATAGTTCTCTTTTTGCCTGTGGGTTTTAATTTCGATCTTTTGATTCCATTGTTTTATCGTAGTTCATCGAAAGTACGTAGATTCGATCCGTATATTGTCACCTTTCGAACAATATTTTTCATTCCAAATTTGGAAAGTTTCGATTTCCAATTTTTCTGAACGGAATTAGATTACAGTTAGATTCCGATTTTTTTTTTATCCTATTTTAATTTCCAAAAATATTCGTAAAAATTTCAACAAAAAAAAAATCAAAAATCACACTCATAATATAAATGGTATTACATATTTTACATTATTGATGACTAAAATATTGAAATCAAATTCCAACAATTCAAATCCGAAATTTTTCAAAACGAAATCAGAATTAGTTTCTCACTTCCGAAATTTTTTTTGGAATTTTTCGAAAAGGATTAACTCCGATCTGTTCGATCACATCCGATTTCCATCTATACGGATAATCATGTGTAAACTTCTAGAAACCAAGCTAACCATACATTACATTACAGCCTAATTAAATGGGCTACAGTAAATACATTTTCAAATATAAAATTCCTAGAGAACTTGCAATCTGCTGTATCTATTCTTCCGGTGGACACTCAGCATCGTAGGCGATCTCTTCCGGTAAACAGTCTGCCAAATCATATCAACTGCATCTCCACTCTTCGACGGATAATTATACTCAAAGTGTCCACTAATCTCCTTCAACCTCTCCCACATTTTCGTCCACTGATCTCGTTCGATACTTCTTAGAAGATTTACGAGGTAACCCTTTTTCACAGCATCGGACGATTTTACAAACACGCAGAATTCCGAGTAATCGAGAATATCTTCAAACGGCAGTTCGATTTCGTCGCTGATAACAACGGGCACGCAGTGGGTGGCGATTGCGTCGAAGAGGCGGTTCGACGAAGGGGTATCTCCGGCAATATTTAGGCAGAATTTCGACGAGGACATCCCTTTGCCAGCCTGGCGTACCCCATTCGACTGAACGCTTCCGAATGCGAAGTGCGCGTCTTTCTCGTCTTTGAGGAGGTAGTATAGCTCTTGACGAATTTCTCCGCCCTGAAAAATTCAAGAAATTAGTGTTCACAAGTAGAAAAATAAATATTATATGTGATAAAAAATCATATCTTCTCAAGAATTGAATTAAGATAAGAATTATAACACCTTATACTGCATTTCTTTTGGCACACAACTCCTAAATGGTGCGTTCTTAGGGGTTGTTTGTTAATAAAATTGAATTGTTGGGGATTTTACAAATATTCATAATATGTGGGGTTTTTTGAAATTAGAGTAAACACTGGGGTTCTAAATGCAATAAATTCTAATTACTATTCTCTTTTTTCCCTTGAAAGTACTAAACAAACAAAAACAACCTCTAAATGGTGTGTTTTAGGTGGTAGTTAAATAGTTTCCTTATAAAAGTGAATCATAGGGGGGAATTTTGCAGATATTTATAACACAGGTAGTTTTGTGATAATTAGAGTAAACATAGGGGGCTAAATACAAGTAATTTTATTACTTTTTTTTTTTCCTCAAAATTACTAAAGGAATAAAACAACCCCTAAAGGGGGGGGGGGCGTTTCTGGCTAATAAAATTGGGATTTTTTCTAATATTTATGACACGGGGGAAGTTTTTTGAGAATTAGAGCAAACACATGGGGTGCTAAATGCAATAAATCCTAATTACTTTTTTTTTTTCTTTTCCTATTGAAAGTACTGAACAAACAAAAACAAGTAAAAATTTTACAGTAAGTGAGCATAAAAAAACTTACATCTTTCCGATAAATCGCTCCTTGGAAATAAACGAGCGTCGGCCTTTCCTCAAACGGGGGCGAATCATCCGCCGCAATAGCCCTCACCATATGCCGATAAGGAGCAATCACATCCTTCTCAACATTTGCCACTTCAGTCGGATACCGCCCAAAATCCGCCAGCACAAACATGGCCGAACCGAGCTTTCTCCGAGCAAACAACATGCTATTCGGGTGGTGGGCCACGACCAAGTGGTCCCCACCTCCCTTCCGTTTCCACTCTCTCCGGTTTTTCAAAAACTCCACCAATTTCTCCTGCAATATTCTATCCAAACTAATCTTTTGCTTCCCCTCGGGCTTCGAATACCGATTATAACTCAACGACGAGAAAAACGGCACAAATACCACATCCGCCTCGCTCGAGTTCTTTACTCTAATTGCACTACAACCCCTTGTTACATTCGGATTATTCGATGCAAGAAGATCGAGGGTGAGCCAGTACTCGATACTATGTTGTAAATTCAATCCGCCGGGGTAAGATGGTAATTTATCCCGATCGTTTAAATCCGGCCACGTTCGATTTCCGTCTCCCTTCCAACCCAACAACCCGAAATGAAACTCGGCCGGTAAATCGTACATGTAAACTCTAAGAAGATCTTTATTTTCTTGGTCGCAAGATTTATCACGAGTGTAATTTTCTTGTTCTTGTTCTTCAACGACCCTTTTTTCGATCTCGAAAACGGGTCTTTTGAGAGGGATTGTTTGCGGGTCGCCGGTTTTCAAGTTGGGTTTCGAGTGAATCGATGAATTGTTCACTACTATGAATTGAAGGACTGATTTGGGTACCGAAGAATCCTCGTCGAAGTGGAGAAGGGAGAGTGAAGAGGAAATTAAAAGGAGTATCGAAAAGGCTATTAGGAGAGAGAGGAGCTTTGAGGGAAATATCCTCTTCTCTGAAACTGATGAAGGCATCTTCAATATCATTTAACACTAGTTCATCCAAATTCAAAAAAAAAAATCAAATTTTTTTTTTTTGATTTATTCAGAGGGAAAATTAAATTGACATAAATGCCAAGATCACAATCTTTAATGGCAATTTAATTAAACGGTCAAAGTATACAGAGGTGTTTTCAATTTCTGAAACCTTAAAAATACCAGGTATTACAGCAATTTTTGGTGTAATAATTTTCCCTTTTTCTTCCTAGTACAGCTCACATGCAATGATGCGAGAAACATAATCAATTTTTTTTTTTTTAATTTTAAATCACCAAAGGTGGCACCTTTTTCAAGAAAACAGAGCAAAAAAATCAAGAATCAAGAATCAAACTAAAACCCAGAACTCATCGTACACCCAAAAGGCCAACCTGCGAAAAATAAAATTTAAAAATAAATAAATAAATCCAAGAACTCCGAATTAATATAGATACAGACATGCATATAAAACACGACCAAGAATCAATTTTTTATTTTTATTTTCCATCTGGGCCATCAAGATTCATCTTTTCTCAGATTCCCAGCACGAAAATAGAAACATAAATGCAAAAAATAAAAAAAAAAGAAAAAAGAAAAAAGAAAAAAAACCTGGTTTCAGCTGGGTCTTCTGTTTCTAGAAATCCCTTCATTTCTAAAAATAATAACAAAAGGAAAGAGGAAAAATATTATTAAAAAAAAGTAATATGTTTTTCTCTTCACTCGAATTTGTATTTGATAAAATAATAAATACTAATTTGAATATTTGGTGATGAATTTATTTCTTGTTGGTTTTGGGTTATAAAGTGGACAGGTGGTATGGTTGATTGAGAAGACTTATCTCGTGTGTGTAATCCAATCAAATATCTTTCTCCCATGAATACTTCAATTTGGACAAGCAATTTTTCTTCTTTTTTTAATATACTATTTTTGTTTCAAAAATCGAGGTTAAGGAAACAGTTAATTTTACTGCAAAGGATTTCTCAAAAAAGAGAAAAAAAAAAAAAAAAAATTGCAAAGGAAGAATTAATCGCGATTTATAAGTGTATTATTTTACTTTTGATAGAAACAAGATATGGGGTCGGTGTTAACTAGAGATATAGATAAATAAAAAAAAATTATATGACCGATAAATAATATTGCAACACTTGAAAAATTCTATAGAAGTGGCGTGACTCTTCATCAATGTATTCAATATTGGTATTAAATGTATGCAAGAAATAGAATAGTTGAATTTTGTGTCAATTAATCCAGATTTGAATCCCCTTGTCAGTGCTTGCTATGTTGAATTTGTCACACATGGTTAGGCTGGTGTGGTTTACATCGCTCGTATGATTTATAAACTATTATACGAGAGTGTCGATTTTACTCAGTGCACCTATATGGTTGGATGCGGTTCATTCGTTACAAAAAAAAATATTGGTATTAAATGTTCGGCGCTTGTCACACATGGTTAGTCTAGTGTGGTTTACGTCTCTTGTATGGGTTGCAAACTGTTATACGAAGAGTGTATGTTTACTCAATGCAACTATATGGTTAGATGCGGGTACAAAAAAAATATAGGTATTAAACGTCTTGCTGCAAGGATGACTTAGCGGTGGTAGCAAGTGAGTCTGTGTCAATTGACTCAGGTTCAAATCATTTTGCCAATGATCGCTAAATAGAACTTGTCACACGTGGTTAACCTAGTATGAACTACGTCTCTCGTATAGTTTCAAGCTATTATACGAGAGTGTTAGTTCACTAAGTTTACCTATATAGTTAGTTGCGGATTTTTCATTAAAATTAGGGTAAATTGCACCCACACCCCTGAGACATGCTAAATAGTTTTAAGGTCCATGTGGTATCGATAATTACCCTTACCCCCCCCCCCCCCCCCCGAAAAATAATTATAAACCAAAGGGAAAAAGCATTGGAAACCTTATTCCCAAAAAAGTCTAACGAAATATTACTTTCCGCTAGGGGGGGAGACAACATAAAGTTAGGGAAGAAATGGTTCCCCCAAAATTTCTCAAGCCCCCCCTAAATCTTTGTTGGCTCCCCCACTTTTTGAAAATAAAAAGGCGGTAAAACTTTTTCGGAAAAACGTTTTCCCATGGATTATCCCATTAAAATTTCTAACTATTTTTCCGGGGGGGGGGGGGGATTTTCGATACCCCCAGGGCCCTAAAGGTTTTTTTACATAACTCATGGGTGTCGGGGGGATTTTCCCCTAAAAATAGAATTTAAAAAAAAATAATAATGGTTTTTAACCCCCCAATTTTACTTTTTTAAATGAAATTTTTCC